AGGTGGGGGTGGGGGGGGGGGGGCACAAAGACGCTGAGAGCAACATCAGCGTACCAAAGGGTTAGCTGTGAGTTTCGTAAACTGCTGTGCCTATGCAAGTGCTTTCTGCCAGCACATCTTATTATAACGTGCTCGTGAATATGGGAGTTGGTTGAGCATTCAACTTTACATGCAATTCCGTACTCAGACACACTTAATTCACTTAACTAAGCTCGTAATGACAAATACACTACAAAATCAATTGGTCTTAACTCGAGGCACAAATGAGTGTCCATCTTCACTAAGTAGTTAACTCTAAAGAAAGATTAAAAGCAGAAAAAAGGGCAAACAGATGTTTGGCTTGAATAGACCATAAGGAATAGAATAATAAATATCCTGTCTGTGATAGTACCGAACCCCCCCCCCCCTCCCAAAACCTCAAGAAAGTAGAAGGGAGAACACAGTGGCACGCAAAGCTGCTCGAGGATAGGGAGAAAAATGCTCACGCACTAACAGCAAGACCACTTATCCTCACATGAAATGGTTAAAAACGACTTCCAGCGCCCGATTGGCGATTGTTTTAAAACTTGTAGGACTGAAAACCACATCTCGCCGAATTTAATCCTTAATACTGACATCAGAAGTAAGGGAAACATGCCCTTCAAATGAGCTTATGAAAAAACAATAGCATCAAGATTCTTTGAACTAGGGAAGTAAACTAATTATCCCGAATCTTAAAGACCAAATTCCCCTATCCTTTGCTCACCCTGCTTCTTCTCTACGGGATCTGGAAGTTCGCTTATTGAACTAACACAATGTTCGCCATCTTATTGGAAAAAGGGTGCAAAACCAAACTCCTAATCTTAAACTACTGAATAGTCCACTGATTTATGCATACTTACCGGATGTAGTCTTGTCGACAGATGAGACGTCCTTCCATAATGAAGCAAAATTCATTGAGGCTGCAGTTGCAGATGGAACAGATGGCGCAATTTGCGTGCAAGGATCGACCTCGGACCCTCACCATGTACTTGTCCTCCACGGGAAGGTGACATTGGGTACAGAGGGGAAGGCCATTCCCCACTCCATGGCTATTACCAATAGCAGCCTCGGCGGAGGTGGGGATCGATGCACTTGTTGAATGATAGGCTGTCACTTTGTCTGCAATTAAAACCAACATACTAAATTCACATATACACATAATTACTGATCTACAATTGCCAGATTAAGGACACGGTGTAAGTGGATAGGTCTTACAGATCCTGTTCGATTCCGATTTCAAGAACGCATTCCAAACTCTTATTTTGGAAAGAAATGCTGGAACTGCTCTATTGAAAAACTTCAAAAAGGACTTAGTCATTCATTGCCTCAAGCAGGATGTGCATGCAGGCGGAATCAATACTTTAATAATAGCATATTTTGTAAAAAGTGCTTTTTATAATCCAGACCAAAGAAAGATATATGACTCCAGACGCAATCTTGTAAATTAAGGACACTCAGATAACTACCACTATCATAACATATTTCTAAGCGGAGAAGAAAATTATGACCTTAAGCTGAACTTAACCTTAGTTAATCGTAAAATCAGGACAAATTATAATTAAAAGTTGCAAACACAGCAACAGGCGGTAAAGAGGTTTTTGTAAATCAGTTATAACAGTAAAATTCAAAGGGGAATTCGATCCAGACCAACCGAGAAATGGGACAAATTTTATTAACCGAAAAATAAACTAAATGATTATAAGGGCTTTGTTTCACTCCAAATGCTAAAACCAAGTATGAAAACCTAAAAATGTTCACTTCAGGTAGCAAATATTAATTATATTTTATCTATTTTCAATGACTTACGGCTCTGTGCCTCAAAAATGGCAGTAGTGATATACCCCACTTTTTAAACATGATCTCGATCAATTCTTATTCAGGCAATCAGATAAACTTAGGAGCTGACAAATAGCCAAACCAATAAGACTACAGATTAAAATATAATTAGAAAAGGTACAATTAGCATATCTGCAAGAGGTCAATGTGTAATAATTCAAGACAAGGGGTGCGCGAAAGACTTACCTCCACGTGGTGCACCCTGGGCAGCGTATACTCATATGGCAAAAAAGTCTATTAACCGGCAGTTGACTTCTCACTTCAAACAACCATGACCTCACTGTATGTCATATTCGACCCCTTTCACAGTACTTGTCTAGCCCTATCTCTATCTTTGTGTCTGTCTGCCTTTTACATCTGTTTCCTCCTCCTCTCTGTGAAGCCCAAAGTCAGCTAAAGGGTTAAATCATTATTCTGTCCACCCTCTCGACTTTTTGTCACTTTGATGTGAATCGCTCTTCTTTTCCCCTGTCAAATTTTTCTCACTTTAATGTTCCTCCTTTCTGTGAAGCCCGAAGTCAACTTAAGGGCTAGTGATAACTATCAAGATGCCTGCCATTTAAAATAAATGAATAAATAAATTCTAGAAAATAGAGTGAAGTGGTAGAAAAATAGTCCCTCATAATAGCGACTCCACTCTCGTCCCAATTCAAAAGTTTTCAATACCACCTTTAATGGATTGGAAAGGTTTGACAGCTGTTCTTCGACAGGGAAACTTCATATGGATAAACGGGTAGGAGAGACTTTCAAAAAATTTAGTTGCCTACTCAATCATTAGCTAATTACTTGATCTACACACGGATATGAAGACACTTACAAGCGTGAAAATCAATATGCATAAAAACGCCTAGACGACACTTCAAATAATATTCTCTCAACCATTAATTGGCGAGTACTCTTAAAAAGGCATCATGAGATTAGTGCCCAGGTACCAATTATGGCGGTGTGAGAAGACACCCTTTCAATTTTTTTGTATAAAATTTATCTGATTTGAGAAAAAAAGCACAAAATGAAGTGAGAGACAGAATATGCCAAAATAGGGTAGATAAAATAGCCAATAGTATAAATTCTCAAATTGATGTCATACCAGATGAAAGTTCCAGATCTCATTAAAGGACAACATTAACAAATCCATTGTAAGAATTGCTATCGATGCTTCGCAAGAGCACCTCCTTCTCTGACCAGAATTAAGCACTCATTATACGGCGATGCGATCTCTATACCATCGTTGCACAGTAAAGGATAATAAAGTCATTTTTTAAAAAAAACAAAATATCCTTTCAAAAAAGAGTATGTAGAGAGAACTCACAGTAAATCATAGAGAAAGACCCAGTGCATTTTCTTGCCAAAGTACAGGAAGAAAATGAAAATAAGCTGAATGAATTTTCTGCAAAATTAAACCAATTGAAGTGGAATAACTCGATGTATGAGAGGTTAGCTATAATCAACGCTCCATTAATGAATTATGACAAACTATACGCCCTCGTTTCGGCAGCAATTGCCGCTAAGTGGATGAATATGGAGGCGGAGGTAAAATGAATCTCCTAGTGGGAACAAGAAGCAATTACCATCACAAAATTAGTATTCACTACCAGACTAACAAGTAGAAAAAAATGTTCCATAAAAATATAAAGAGACCAAAGAAGCACAATAAAATTCCGATTCTCTACCTTCTTTAAATATTATAGCATTTTGGCTTGTAGGAATTTACAATGGAGGAGAAATAAGACTCCCAAAATCTCAAACAAAAGAACGAACAATTAAGAGCTTTGCTATCATTTAATATTCAATTTAAACCAATTTCAGCACTCTGGCTCACATCAAAGATAAAGCGCAAGTACTATATTTATAGTAAATTGGAGCCCAATTAAAAATTGACATATAGTTCAAATAGCATTCATACTTTTAGTGACAAAGAAGATGACCTAAGAAGACCCCAAATGAATTTGATATAAACTCATGAAGCATATCCAATGTGGCTGTCGGGAACCAAGTAAAGCTGAATGACCGTGGGCGTCGTGAACCGAATTTAAGCAACCAGATAAGTGCAAGCGAGGATGATGGGATTAGAGCGATAAAAATATAACCTGAAAACTTAATCTTCGCAAAACTATAATACATAGATGATAAAGGTACCGAAATGAGTAGAGAGAAACTCAATAGTGTAAACAAACGGAGTAGGTACCAACTAAGGTGAAAGTAAATAAAAAGTGAACCATAATATTCAATTTACACGCAAAAAACTCTGAAAGAATGTACATGAAAGTAGACAAATTACCATAAGATAAGAGCTAATAAATATATGAGGATAATTTCAATAAGACGATAATTTCAAATGACGATAATAAGTTCGTACAAGATCTTTTAGACATCAAAGCCCGCGTCTTATCAATGGGTTCTCTCAATAAATACACAAGAGTGCAATTGAATAAAAAGAGAAAGAATCGACGACGACAGGGCAAAACGACGTTAATAAACCCAGTAGAAAATGGAAATTGTGGTAAGTAAATGAATATTATGAATAAATTCATGCTTAAAAATATGAATAATCGCGGACAAACAATAAATATATACGAAATCCTACTTGCTAAATTGCGAGAATAGCGACCAACCCCTACGGACACTGACAAGCTAACGAATGCCCATAATGACCTAGAGATTAACTCATATAATAACTTTAACAAATTACACATATATTATTATGATAATAATTTACTATAATTTTTGATCAACATATTGCATTTAAAATAAAAGTTTGGTAAACCAGAGATAAATCTTGAAAATCAGTCAGTGATAATATCGATCAATATTCATAAATCTTCGCGGTAGGATATTCCAATCATTAGAGTTAAATTTCTTTGTTTATTAGATATCACAGAAGGTAAACTTGCAGCAGTAATAGCTAGTTTACAACGAAAAAAGTAATGTAGTGTAGTTTTTTTAAATCGTTTAAGGATTAAAAATAAGTTAGAAATCGTCCGAAATATTGCCTACAAGAATAGCCCATAACCTATTATCAACCTTTATAGTAAGTACACCATCATTATTTACTTATCAATCAAATATTAACTTTAAACTCTTGATACTTCATTTTAATTTTAAGAAATGTGTTATTGCATAACAGGATATTGAATTCTAATTGATCTATTTTCTTATTATCTACCTCCCATTATGTTTATATTTTTCTTTATGCAAAACGTAATATATTGTTCTTGAATAATAAGTTCATTGAATACAAATTAAAATGTCTTTCCAAACTAGAGCAAAGTGTTTAAAAGCGAAATATTTGTAAATTAATGCCCTTTGGTAGACAGAAGTAAAAGTGTACTTATATCGACCACGACCATTAGGAATAATAGCCAGCTTTTAGTTTCAATCTTATTTGTTTCATCTATTTTATTATTAGTTTTATATTTTAAAATATATCAAAGCTTCATTCAAGGTCAGATCTAATGCATGGTATATAATAAAATTGATAACATTTTTACACATAGGCATTTAATGGACGAAATTACCGAGTTCAAGCTAAATGGTTATTACCTCTATTAAGCATTACCTTCAGTGGTATTGATAATTTTGAAAATATTCATCCTTTTCTATATTTATAGTATGAAGTACAACATGTAAACCTCTTTTTGATCTTGAAATGTATAAAATATCTCCATTGTGTACACATTTTCGTCTCTTTACTCTGGGATACAATAGTTCAAATTATTTATTTGTTTGGATGTTATAGTTAGTTTTTTAATTCAATGAACTTAATTTCGCGGAGACTAATTTCAAATACCTTATAATCAATGTCTTTCGGTTTAATTTCGTTAATAAAATATGATTAATTGCTTTCTTCTAACAGTAGGCAACCGAGGTTTTCAGAGATCCAAAATAAAGAGTCGAGAGTAAAAGGGATTTCATTAGACTGCTAACATTCAAAATTGGTTATACTAAATATGGTAACTTTATGGGAATCGGGTCAAAGTAGGGGAATATTTCAAGCCATTAATGCTGTTAATCAGTTTGAAGTTGACCCGCAAGCTTCCCTAATTTATTGGTAAATGAAATAGTTAGACGTCAGTGATGAATGGCATCTGTTTGCAAATTAGCCTTAAATGCACACACGAACCAAAATCAGTCGACTGAAAATTAAAAGAGAAAAAAGAATAGTTTGAGGGCATAGTGGAAGAGGGCATCTGCGCCACAATTTTTGTGGCTGAAGCGTCGATGGTATTTCACCGGTGGCGACCTAAAGGAGAATATAGTATTTCATAGCATATGAATAAACCAAATTTAGTTAAAATCCATTTA